GGGAACCAAGCTTGTGACCACTTCAAGAGCAGTATATGCTCTTAACCACTAAGCCATTTCTTGAGAGATAGTTTTGTCAGACAGGTTTTCTGCAGGTAGGTTTTTCTGGCTGGCCTTGAACTCTTGGTTCTTGTGTCTCAGGTGTACGATGCATATCCTAATACAATTCCAGTCCTGGGATTATAGGCATGAGCCACCAAGCCTGTAGGACCCTAGTTTTCCTTGGGAAGAATGAGTTCTGTTCTGTGAACCAGGGGTGGGAGGAGCGGATCGAGTGGAGAGTACCACATGTTAGAAGAAGATGGGAGAAATACTTAACAGTCATCTCAAATGATGAAAACTAGTAGTTAGAATAGAAATCTTCACTAGGCAAGACTGAGGGTGCAGGTAAAGATGACAAATTCAAATCTGCACTAAAAAACTTCCTAAGCCTGCTCCAGTGTGAGACTTTCTTTGTTTTAGAGATGTAGCCCAGGCTGACACATATTAGCCAAAGATGACATTGATAATCTATCTCTGCTTTCACTTCCCCCATGCTAGGCAGGAACTCCTCCAGCTGAATAAATCCTTAGGCTCTATTGTTTTATTTTAGACATGTAGCCCAGGCTAGCTCTAAACTTGCCCATGTAGCTGAGGCTGCTCTTGAAAATTCCTGTCTGCCTGCTTCTATCTACCAACTGCTGGGATCACAGACTTGTGTCACCTTGCTTATCACGCAGATGAGTGTTAGTGCACTGTAGTTTTAAGTGCTCTGTAGAGAGAAATTATTTTGTGAATTTTGCTGAGCACACATGATGATTTCTTTGATTGGCTTTTACCAGCCTCAACAGCATGCTCTCATGTCTGAGAGCACATGTCTGAGGCCGTACACTTAGTTTAACTGCCCCAAATATAAGGTAAGTAAACAGATATGCTGAAATGCAAAACTTGTAATACTTTAGCTCTCCACTCTAGTATCAGGGTTAGAGGATGTGGGTTGCCTACAGTTAGTCTGATCTACTCTAGGCGTGAAGTTATATTCATGTTTTTTTCTCTCTTATTGTTTGCTTTTCCAGTGCTGATGACTAAATCCAGGGCATTTGCACATGCTGACAAACTCTCCATCACTCCACCATGACCTATGCCCTCAGCCCCAAGGTGACATTTTAGGTTATCACTGGGTTTTTCCAGTCCCCTAAGCCTGGTGTCATGGAGAACAGATATGTTTGATTCGTCAGCTGCTCTTACCTGCCTTCCTGTAGAGTTGTGCAGCAGTGACTTACAAGAATGGGACCTAGAAATCCTTTAAAAAGATTCTTAGGTGATTCCAACACATGCACCCCCTCCCACACTCTTAAGACTGTGAGAGAGGTAGAGGAGAGGAGAGGGGAGTGCGTGCTTATAGATTCTTTGTGGGAGAGCTCTGAGGCAGAGTATTATGTAGCTGGCTTGAAGCCAGCTCTAAGAAGACGGTCTTGAACTCTGGATCCTCTTGCCTCCCTTGGCCAAGTTCTGGAATCATGGGCATGCCCATGCTGAAGGTGCGACTTTTCAGGACCCATGAACTGTAGTCTCCCACAACACGGAAAAGCCAAGGTCAACCACTGAGAAGTTACTGTACTCTCCTCTTCAGATAAGGAAATTTTTGTGGGGTGGGGGTGCTAGAGGTGGATCTCACTGTCTCCTATATGCTAACCATGGGATGCACCACTAATCTATACCGAGCCTGAGGCATAACTGCTTATGCTAAAGAACATAAGTCACTTTATCCTCTCTGTGACTCATCTTCCCAGCCCAGCTGTGTGATGGAGAAGCACCCAGTACATGTGAGTATAAGCCAGGATTCTGTTGAACAGCCACAAACTGGAAAAGTGGAATGCTATTTGGGCATAACCTGTCCCCCTACTCCCTACTCAAAGGGATAGATTTCCAAATATTAGTATTAGTTCCTCTCTCTCTTCTCTCTCTCTCCTCTCTCCTCTCTCTCCCTCTCTCTCCCTCTCTCTCCCTCTCTCTCCCTCTCTCTCCCTCTCTCTCTCTCTCTCTCTCTCTCTCTCTCTCTCTCTCTCTCTCTCTCTCACAGACACACACACACACACACACACACACACACACACACACACACACCTTTTTAGACATGGTCTTGCTATGTTGTCCAAGCTGTCCTTGGTCTTCTGGGCTCAAGCGATCCTCCGGCTTTAGCCTCCCATGGAGCTGAGACTACAGGTCCTCACACGGAGCCCAGCGTTATCAGAAGCCATTTATCTCAAATTAGTTATCTTGCAAGGAGTTGGCTTTCACAACTAGCTCTCTGCAACCTTACCAACCACACAGACCCAGAATATTTGGGGTGTGTGTGTGTGTGTGAACCACACCCAATCTGAACACATTATAAAAAAAAGAAAAGAAAAAAACAAAAACTCACCACACACATATTATTTTTCTTGTCATTATTACAATAACATGGTGTAAGGACTGACATAGCATTTACATCATATTAGGCATTATAAGTACTCTAGAGACGGTTTAAAGTATATAGGAGAATATGCATCATTATATCCAAATACTACACCATTCTACACAAGGGACTTGAGCATCCTCAGATTTTGGTATGCTGGAGGGTGAAGGATGTGTTGGAACCAGTTCTCCATGGATACTGAGGGAAAACTGTCTTCTGCCTTTTCCACATTCCTTTTTTTTTTTTTAAGATTTATTTATTTTATGTATGTGAGTACAGTGTCGCTGTCTTCAGACACACCAGAAGAGGGCATTAGATCTCATTACAGATGGTTGTGAGCCACCACGTGGTTACTGGGAATTGAACTCAGGACCTCTGGAAGAGCAGACGATGCTCTTATCACCGAGCCATCTCCCCAGCCCTCTTTTCCAGATTCTTATGTTCTCTTTTGAGTTTCTGCTCCACTTGTCCTGGGCTACTTGGGATGGGAGGTAGGTTTTGATAACACAAGAGCTCAATAAAACAAAAGTGTTCTCTGGCTTGCCTCTAGCCTTGCCTTACATTGTTTGGCACTGAAAAATTCCTTTCTGATACTCATATATAAAATGGCCTAGATTGGCGGACTTCATGCCATGGTCTATGGGTCTTCCTGGAACCTGGAGACCCCTGGAGATGTGCACTAGAAAGGGAAGCTGAGCTGGTAGCCTCCTTAAAGCTCACACTCATTGGAGTGGGAGTTTTAGATACAGGAGTTCTTTGAAAGAACGGTTCTTAAGGGACCTTTAGAGTTGAATCACCATGTCCTCTCCTGTCTGATATGCTTGATCTTCTGAAGCCCAGCTCAAACTATCCTTCTCCAAGAGATCTTCCTGGTCACCTCATGCTGGATACCTGAGCTCAGCAGTAACACTGACCCACTAAAGCCTGCTTCCCAGCAGTAGGCCAGCTCTCCCTTTCGTGCCTCTCTTCCTTGTAACACCATTTCCAATGTAGGTGTTCCAACTTGCTGATGTTACCTAGTGTCATGAGCTGTGTCACATGGGATAAAGCTTCAGGACAGAGTCATGCTTTTGGGAGAAAGCCAATGGCCCTGAAGCAGGCAGTCAGTCAGGAGGAGACAGGGAACCATAGTGGCATAATGAGTCAGAAGAGCACTCTGCCACTAATCAGTGACACCATCAATCAACCTTACTCACTTGTCTTGAGTCTACCTAGAACCCTAGATAGGTCAGTTTTTTGAAACTGGGGACCTGACCTAGAGAAACTTCGGGATCATGGACAACCCCACTAGAGCAACTCTGTGTTCCTGTCTTAACTAGATTCTGTTCACATTTTTCTGTCCCTCAGTAGCTCTTCTGGCAAAGCCTGTCTGTACTCCTCAGCCATGGAAGAGGCATGCCCTTGAAGCCTAAGATTCAGCTCTGCTGCTTGTCATCTGGTAGGCTGCATTGCTAGTAGGCATCTCAGTGAGTTTCTTAGCGGGGAAGTGCAAATTAAATGAGGAACTCTCAGGTCTACTCAGACTGCTACTCTTTCTGGAGGTGGAGGCCCAAAGGGGAGGGAGGGCTCATGAAGAGATGTTCAAGAAAAGAAAGTAGGTAAGTGCCAGAAGCAAAGGATCAAGACAGCCAGGGGCCAGGGGCCCTGAAGCAGACAGCCAGGAGGAGACAGGAAGCTACAGTGGCAGTATGGGTCAGGAGAGGACCCTGCTGCTACCCAGTGACATGACGTTGGGTAACAATCAATCAACTGTCCTTAGTCAGTGTCTTGACCAACTGCAGGCCACTCTGGAGTAAATTTGCAAGGTCCAAGAAGACTGGCAGGTGTGGCAATGGTAAGGGGTGACTATTGTTCACTAACAGGGGAACATTCTGGAGTCAGCTTCCTGTGGGAGAGTCTTGGAATCTAGGGATGCTCCAAAGCCGACCTTCATGTCTCCTGCTGCTCTTTCTTGGCATCCACTTCTGTCCTGGCTTTGGAGAGTGCCTAGTCACACTGGTGAGTGTGAGCAGAACAGGGCAGTGCAGAACAGAGGCCCATGTTCACTTCTGGCCCAGAGAAGCTCCCCGAGAAGTGAAGTGTCCTGATTAAGAGCTGATGAGAAGGGACGGGATTCAATAGGCTGTGCAGGTTCTTAAGGGTTTTTCTAGTCAGTGAGGTACTCCAACAGGATCCCAAAGATGGAGGACCTTAGCATCACTGAACTTCTTGCCACCTGGGAGACATCAGATCAGCCTCCCTGATATCTGGAACTGCACATCTGGCCTCCCTCCTTTCCAGAGGAGGGGTCCTTGTTGGCACTGTAGGGGCAGATGAGTCCTCAGCTGGTCACAGGGAGAGCCTGGTATTACCTTGCAAGGCCCTCCCACTGAATCCTCCAGACGTAGGGGTAAGTAGCAAAGAGATCAAGACTGGAACATCTGGCAGGGTTTAGAATCCATAGTTGGAGGATGATACTTCATGTTGATATGGAGAAATATCTTCAGGCTCTAGGATAATGTGGCATCTGCCTTATCTTCACCAGAAGGGTTCTGGACCCTGTTCTGGCCTTCCTTGGCCTCTCTCAGCTGCTGTAGCCAGAGGTGTAGGTGCTAGGCCTACGGAGCCAAACATCTGGAAGATCTGGCTGACTGTTGGGAAGCACCACAGGGCTGATATCACCTGGCCCTCCACGGCCCTTCCAGGATAAGCTACTGTGGTGAGAATTGGGCATGTTTGGGTCATAGATGGTTTCCTTCAGTGCCAGCCAGAGGGTGTCACGCTTCCCATTCAGCTGACCCCGTTCAAGTATGGGGTGTCCAGTGCCATTCATGACTTCTGGGGAGGTGCCCACAGAATCTGGCACACGGACACTGGGTTCAGAGGCACAGGTGTCATCTGAGACGCTGAGTCCCTCCAGGGTGCTGGCCGAGGAGCACAGCCCGTCAGGGAGCTCTTCAACTTTGGGCTGAGGGCAGTGGGCAGGGCCCACTGGCAGGGCCTGCAAGGGCTCAGTTTTCTGTCCCTGGGAATCTTGCCTGATCCAGGTTTGGAGGTTGGGACCAGCCTGCTTATATGGAGAGGAGGTTTGCAGGGCTGGACACTGACTGAAGACTGTCTGGTGGTCCAGGAGCAGATCCCTTGGGGAGACAGGGGCTTGGGCGTGCTGGTGGCAGCAGCTACCATCGTGTATCTGCAGGTCTTCAGAGAGTATGGAAGGCCGATGGGAAAGCTTGCTGGTGGCTGTGCTGGTGTCAAAGCTGGGACTCCGGCGCCGTGCCAGGGGCTGCAACTCATAGTGCTCGGAGAATCCTGGTGGCCCTGTTCGCCCCTTCTCATCAGGATCCTCAGTCCCGGCATCCCACGGCAGATGGGCACAGGGCCATAGGATCTGTCCACAGTTCTTCTCTGGCCCGAAGAAACAGCACAGGGACTGGAAGAAGAAGCTGGCAAAGCCACAGCCAAGGAACTTGACCATCATGACGATGATGCCCAGCTTTCGATAGAGCAGTATGGTGGAAGGCAGCATGATCACGCCAGAGGCAAACAACACTCCAGTAGTCATCGCTGTGGCCCGGCTGATCTGACGTAAGGAGAAGGCCACGCGGCTCAGGCGATCTGGGTGTGGGCACAAGTGATAGGAGATACAGTAGTTAATGGTTAAGTCTACAGAGAGGCCCACAGAGGCAGAGAGAAAGAGGGCCTCGGCTGTGTTGATTTGCCACTCAAGAAGAACCAGCAAGCCCACAGTGAGCAGCACGGTGCCAGCCACAGCTGCCACAGAGAACAGGCTGAGGGGAACATTCCAGGTGCCCAGCAGCAGTGTGGCAAAGGCTAGTGCCAGAGCCAGACCAAGCACCACAGCAGGCTCTGTGCTTAGACTATGCTGCAAGCTGTACAGCTCCAAGGTGCTGGTGAACCAGCCCTGGTTGAGGCCAGGAGGTGCCTTGCTCATCTCGGTTGACAGCCAGCGGCTGATTTCAGTGTAGAAGTGGTGTACTGGGCCATACTCTGTACTGTATGGTAAGTTGGTCTGGAACTTCAGAACTAGAGCTGCCAGGTTGCCATGAGCATCGAAGCGGAGTCCCAGGTCACGTGTGCCATCAGGACTTTGCTCCAGAGCCATCATCTTGAGACAGTGCAGGTAAAGCTGGGGGGCCCAGGGGAATTCTGATTGGCCACAGCATAGATCGGGACCCAGACGGCCACAGCTGGGGCTCTCCATCCACTGCTGCAGGGCTTCCACTAAACATAGCGTAGGCCAACCCTCTGGCTGGTCTCCAAAGAAGCTCTGATTCTGGGCTCCGTGGCAGAGAGCCAGGAGCCACTCCTGGGCCTCGGGGCTGCTAGGCGAGAAGTCAGGATCGCTTACCACTGAGCTGTTGGTGCGAGGGTCCAGGGGATCACTAGTGTCCACTGGCAAGATTCCCCACACCAGAATCACTGGCAAGTTGCCGCCCTCGTTTGGAGGCAGATCCTCGAACAGGAACTGCTGGCGGTACTCTGCATCAAAGCGCTCAAAGGGATGGCTAGACCGGAAGAACTGGCCTCCAAGTGGCAGTAGAATAGGCAGGTGCAGGCGAGGGCTGACGCCGCCGATGTAGGCGCCCCCTGCCGCCAACGCCGCGAACCAGCAGATCCAGATGTACCGAAACTTAATGACACCACAGGGCAGCAGGCGCTGGAAGAGCAGGCGCGAGAGGATGGAAACAATCTTGCGAAGAATGCAGATCCGTCTGTGCAACCCCAGCATCACCCGCAGGGGGTCGTTGCCACCCCTCTGGTCCTGCGCTTGAGCCACACAGCCATGTGCCAGGTAGCGCTCATGGAGCACCACGGTGGCGGGAAGCCAGAGCAGTGTGAGCCCCATGTGTACTAGTACAGCGGTACCCATGAAAAGAGCAAAGCAACGCAGTGCGGGCAGGCGGCTCAGGTAGCTGCCGTAGAAGGCAGCGCTGGTGGTAAGGCCTGAGACCAGGAGCAGGTAGCCAAAGTGGTGCATGGTGCGGCCCACACGGTGTGCTAGGCCCCCGGAGGGCACCTGGCTCCTGCTGAGGCGCCACAAATCGAAGAAGACAAGCGTGTAATTGACACAGACACCAGTAAGCAGAAAGAGAGATGCTAGATTGACAAAGGGGAAGTAGGCCATGCGGAATGCCACATGGTAAAGGAAGAAGGCCACCATCAGGGAGCCCAGTACCCCTAGAAGTGACATGAACGTGATGAAGAGTGAGCGCAGGTAGAAGGACATGCCAAAGAAGATGACAACCAGGGATAGCAAGGGGTACATGGTATCTTCGGCTAGGTAGTACTTCAGCAGTCTGGGCTTGAGGCCCAAGTCCATGCCACTGATAGATGTGTAGTTGTCAGAGACTTTAATTGGGTCACCTAGGCCGTCCAGGTAGATGTCTAGAAGAGAGGAGGTCTTTATAATGGGCAGGAAGAGCAGGGCGAACTTGAGGGAGGGCACCTGGTAATCCGCAGTCTGGGGACTCAGAAAGTCTCTGTCTAGCAGGTAGTGCAGAAATTCATAGACAATGCTGCTTCCGGTACACTTGGTGGGAACTTGGGCACAAAATGGGGGTTTGTCCTGCCCAGATCCCACACAAGCAGGTACCAGGACACCACGATGGTAGTAGGTGGCACAGAACCGTAGCAGGGCCAGTGTGCGGTCTGTATCAGCTTGGGTAGTGTCTTGGCAGGAGGAGCGGTTGGACAGCACAGCCAGATAGTTGCCCAGGGACCAGCTGGGGCAGCACTCATTGGCTGCTGATCGCTGACACAGAGCCCCAAAGCTGATGTGAGAGCGGATCTGTAGGGCACACAGGAGTGGGGGGTGAAGCTCAGAGGGAAGTCCAGAGGCCCATAAAGTTACCTTAACCCTGTCCTGGGCCCTCTCACCTCTTGTCATGCTGAAGGGCAGAGAGTAAGTATCTTGATAGCCCAAAAGAAATGCTTTGTCTCAAAGCTGTGTTTGTCCCTGGCCTAGCTTCTAGTAACTCTATCTTGGCTTTATCAAAGGAGAGCCTAGGGAAGTTTCCCCAGACCTTTCCCAGAGGCTTCCAGAAGGGCTCCTATAGCCCCTCCCTGCCAGCTCTGCAACTTCCTAAGTCAGGAATGAGAGTGAATGTGACAAGCAACACATGGAACAAGGCCAAGAGACCAGAGAGGTGGAAGTAAGCAGTAGAAGACATTCCAGGGTCAGGGTCACTGAGAACTCCCAGCCCTTCTTTCCCTGGGTTGCTTAAAGCCTCTTAAGGCCGGAACTTCCTCTTTTAACCTTGTGCCTCCTTTCCTTTTCAACCCTGCTGTTCCCACCACAACAGCTGTTGTAGTACAAAGCTCCCACCTGGGAGTCAGATGCCCTGCTCTGCCTCTAACCACATGCACGTCCTTGGGGCCTAGTTCACAGTGCTGCTGCTGCTGCTGCTGCTGCTGTACCATTATCAGGTCATTCCTAGTGCCAGCATTATGTCAGATTCTTCCAAATTCTATCTCACTTCACAGTCACCATCCCTATAAAGGACATACTATTATTGTCCTTGTGCCATATATACAGGATTGAGGATGTAGCTCAGTAATAGAGCACGTACTCTGTACGGATAAGTATCTAAGTTTGATCCCCGGCACTACAAAAACAAATCAAAGAAAACCAACCAACTAAGCAACCAACCAACTAAACAAACAAACACCAACACATATGAAGCAATGAGAGGTTAAGAAGTTATGTACCAAAGGAACCCTAGAGCTGGCCTTGAACTCAGGCATTTGAGGGCAGAACACATATTCTTAACCAGTGTCCTCCGTGGCTTTGGACATCGTGGTGTGACACAAGGGACTTGGGGTAGAGAGCTACAGAGTGGTCTGCATACTGGTTTTTTTCGCAGCAAACACTTTAACAGATGACATTGTATACAGTTCTCTATTAGCATAACTGAATTGGCACCGCTCGGGTTGACAAGGCTGCAGCCTTGAAGCCTAGAGTCTCAACTTCCCAGGGCCAGCGTCTCTTCAACACACGTTTGAGATTCTTTTCAAAACCTTTGAAACTCCCTGTGCTCTGCTTGAGTTCTCTTTGTAGCAGGAGGTTGGAGCTTCTACAATCAGCCTACTTGTCTTTGCCCTGACCCAACCCAGAACCTCCAGTAGAACTGGGATAGTTCTCTAAGCAGGAAGGGCTCGTCCCAGTCCACCTTGGCAGTCCTGGCTAAGCAGTACTACACGGCGCGCGACTGGGTCCTTTGTGTCCTCAGCTCCCACCCGCACCCTGGCATGTTCCCAGCCAGCTCACCTGCTCCTGTTCTATGCGACACATGGAATGGATGGCTTGCAGATTCCACAGGCTTCCCCCAGAGGTGGACACAAACACCAGCTTTGCATGGCTCTTCTCTGCAACACAACCCCACACAGCTCAGTGCTTTGACCCCAGAACCTCTAAAAGAGAAGAATCCCATCCTGGGCCACCTGAAGCCTTCATTCCCAGCAGCCTGAAGCATATACCTGATGCCTAGTCTTGCCTGCATTCATTCAGCTTGACTGTGCCTGGTTGGAGCATTTGAGACCGATTTCATTACTCCATTTTCCTTGGCTTGGGTATGGCTAGTGGCCATTTTCTTTTCCTATCTGCCCATTATTTGCTCTGGACCTGCTCATCCTGCTGGGTGAGGGTAGGGACTCTCCACTGAAGTCAGGGCTGGCCATGATGCAGCTTACCAGGGTGGCCACAAAAGAAGTTCTCTTCTTCTTTGACTTCCACAGGCCCCACCATCCTCTTGGTCCGGACCACACTTTCCTCGGCCCTGCCCCAGGCTGCAGGACTCAGAGTGCTGAGGAGGCTTGAGCTGAGGTAGAGAGAAGAGTTTTCCCAAGGTACTGTTCAGGATGGTGGACTCACAGGAAATGGAAGGAGCACCAGCCGCCTCTCACATGTCTTTGGAGAGGTCACCTGGTGTGCCTTCCTGGAGTTCTCCTCCCTTTGCTACTCTCAGTGGAAAGATGGGGACATGTTACCTGTTTATCTCAGGGTCTGGAGAAAGAGAAAAAAGATTCTTGGGACCAGTGAGGGCCTGCATGGCTTTCCAAACTTCTAGCCTTCGGCTGATCTCTGTGTCTCGAGGCTCAAAACCCTGCAGGAAGAAGAGCAGAGAGGAACAAGTGTGCAGGAGGGGTGAGGGCAAAGGAAGACTACCCTCCCTCTGGACCCTTTCCAGCCGTGCCCCTTCGGTTCTCTCCTACCTGAACTGTAGACATATGATTTCTATACTATCCCTAGAGTTATTTGGTGATACAGAACTCACCAACATCACATTATCCCCCAAGATAGGTCAACTCTCTGCCCCAGACTGAGCTGTAATGTTCAGTGTAGGGTTCTCTCTCCCTCCCATGTCCTCTCACCAGTATAGGTTCAGAAAAGTCAAGCGGTGGGCTTCCCAACAGCCCAGCTAGGGTACAGAGAAAGATGAAGGCCAGACACCCCAGGAGCACAGCCATTGGCCACTCAGCAATCAGATGAGAATAACTGGAAAAGATGGAGAAAGCCTACATGAGTTGATGTTGGATATGGTGGTAAAGCTGGTGAGCTGGGGTAGCAGAGAAGAGAATCCACAGAGTGGGTACCAGCCTAGCCACTCCTGGGAGCACAGAAGAGGACTGGTCCTACCTCTTTGGCATCCGGAAAGTGCGTTCCTGCCTGCGGAAGATAAGAAGAGAAATTTACCATAGTCTTCTGGTGTGTGTGTGTGTGTGTGTGTGTGTGTGTGTGGCTGGGGGTTGGGGAAAAGATTGAGAACACATTGGGTTGGGAAAGGAGGGGACAAGAGAGAGGACAAGGCATAGAGGAAGTTGGTATTAATTTTTAGAATTGCCCAACTCCAAGTTCCAGTTTTTGATGTTTGTTTGTTTCCTGCTCCATCCAAGCTGCCTCCTCCATTAGAGGCAGGAGACATCCAAGCCATCTACTAAGAAAGGAACTGGAGGCTTCAGCATCTGCTGTACCTTTTAATGGCTTTTTCAGCCTCCTCCTTACCTGACACTGACCACATGGTGCTGCACAGAATGTGGCTTCCAGACCCCATCATGCTGAGAGGGGTCTATGGAAGTGCTGAGGTTGGAGACATGGGCACATAGAGATGCTTGATCTCCTAATCCCAGTAACGAACTTCCTTCTTGATAGTCTTGAGGCGCTCGAGGAAAGGCAAAATGGCCAGCTGTTAACGGACTGGTTGGGTCTATAGCCTGGAGCGTGGAAACTGTTGGTGGTGGTACCGGAGCACCGGTTGGGTCTTCAAGGGGACAGGTGTGGAGGGAGCAGCTTCTCTCTGGGCTTGCCTCGGGAGCCATGGCTTTGGTCTAGGACCTGGGAGAAGGCAGGCAGGAAGGAGGGGAGGTAGTGGGTTATCTGTGTCCTAGAATTGTTCTGTAATCACGACAAGGAGATAGCCTAGGGTTGGTGTTTTTTCTTTTCTCTTTTTTAGTTCTGCGGACAGATGAGGAGGGCGAGGGCTCAAATCACGCATGCCAAGGTCTACACTCTCACCCAAACATCATGCATTCAAAAAGTATCACTGGCAAACCTGCCCTAAGCTGCATCATGGCCAGCTTGATATCACTGCTTGATATCAAACGTGTTTCTACATACATGGTCATCTTTACTGCCTACAAAACCAAGAAGAATTTTCTTGCTTCACAGGTTTGAAAAGAGATTCAAGGGCTGGGGAGATGGCTCGGTGGTTAAGAGCACTGACTGCTCGTCCAGAGGTCCTGAGTTCAATTCCCAGCAACCACATGGTGGCTCACAACTATCTGTAATGGGGTCTGATGCCCTCTTCTGGTGTGTCTGAAGACAGCTACAATGTACTCACATATAATAAATAAATAAATAAATTTAAAAAAAAAATAAAAAAAAAGAAAAGAGATTCAATGAGAGGTAAAGATTAGAACAAAGTTCAAGGTCTTCTGAACTTGTAGATGGAGCATGTCCTGTATAGTTCCCTGTTTATATATTCCCCCCTCCCCTCAGTATATAGCCTCCCTCAATATGTAGCTTGGGCTTTCCTGAAACTCATTATGTAGACCATGTTGTCCTTGAACTCAGAGAGATCTGCCTGCCTCTGCCTCCCCAGTGCAGGGATTACAGGCGTGTACCACTCTGCCCAGCTTGTCTATACTCTCGACAGACATCCTCGGAGTATCTGCAAAGAGTCACTCATTACTCTTTCTAAACCAGTCACCTGCACCCTCTCTGTTCCATTGCCCTACTGGATTTTTCTTCATGTGTTTCCTGCAACTAGTTATCAGATTAGAGACATGCATGCCCCACCTCTCAGGTGCGCTGTGGAGGCTAAGAAGGCAGAAACTGACTCACAGAAAAGTTCATCTCCATATCCGCAGTGCCGTGAACAGCTCTCTGACACAGAAGGTGGCCAGTGTCCATTAAGTGAACACAGTATTAGACTGGCTGTTAAGAGTGGCATTGTGATAAATAAGACCCAGTACATGGCCCTGGGAATTCATGGTAGTTGGGAGGTGTAGACAGCCCAATATGTTGGTTTCTATGAGAAAGAAATTCAGATGGCTCAATTTTAGTGAGGACGAGGGAAGTTGGAAAGCTCAGCAAACAGGACTGCTGCCTTTTCAACAGTCCTGGCATGGGTCATGAACGAAGCATAGGTTAACTTTGTCAGGGTGTGTGCACAGTTCAGAGAGGGAGCTGGAACCTCCACGGAATATGACAGGAAGGAGTCAGTGATGGTCGTAAAATTAGTCATCAAGACAACACCGTGTGCACGGCTAGTTCCACTCTTTAGCTCCATGGGAAGGGAGAGCCTTACTCCTGTGGCAGGATTTCCAGTCTTAAGACAGCAAAGAGATGGCTACAGAGCAGACTGTCTGGCGATCATGGAGTTCTCAGAGAAGTTCAGGGCCAGGTGATTTGGCAAAGTCTTCTTTCCTTTACCTTGCTTGGCTTTACCCAGCCCAACAGAGTTTGCCTGACTCCCATGGGAGATCCAGTTGTATGCTACATCAACTCTGACATCCAGGCCTACCTGGTGCCCTGCCAGATGTGTCATGAGCCACAGCTCTGGCCGCAGTAGCAGATGGACATTGCCTGTGGTGGCGGAATGGCTAAGTTCTGCCCAGAAACCATGACAAGAAAGTGGAAACAGTGGATAGACTCTGCCTGTTTCCCACCCTCATCAGAAGAATGGCTGTATCAACAGTTTGAGAGAGAACAAGCATCATGTTGAAGGTAAAAGGGGACAATGGAGGGAGGCTCCAGGCTCTGTCATCTTCTGGCCTCAGAAAAGACAATGGTTGGAGCATTTCCTTTTGAGCTCTCAATTTTGATATAGCACATGTGATGTTCCTGAAATAGAATTTGGCATGTAGAGGACACATTTGCTTTCCTACTCTTTCCCAAGTTCAGGACAACAGGGAGTATCTTCTCTTAAGTATATTTTGCATGGATAATGTGAATCTTTTAGGTACTCAGGTAATACCCCCATTTCATAATGTCTGCATTTGAAATCTGATGTCATAATTGAGAACCTTGATATTTATTTGTAGTAATTTAACATTGAGAAATATGTTGATTTGACCAAAGACATTCTAAAGCAAGACCTCAGATGACTCCATAAAGTAATAACATAAGCAGCCAGGTGCTAAGCCTTGGAGGCCAATCCCTTTGGGCCAAAGAGAAACTGGATAAATGCCTGGGTCATGCGTATGCATGAGATCATTTGTTAATTTATTTACTTACTGAGGCAGGAACCCACTGTGTAACCAAGACTGGCCTTGAATTCGTAGCTCTCTTGCCTAAGCCTTCTGAGTGCTTGGTGTACAGGTGCACACTGCCATGCCTAGTGTTAACATTTACTAGAGTTTTTAAACCTATAGTTTATTCCTATTTTACTTGCTCATTTATTTATTTGTATATTCTATGTGCTCAATACAGTATTGGGTCTACGTTGTATCCTGAGCCTTGAATATAGCCATCATCAGCAACTGTTTCTTGAGAACAAAGCTAGCTTTCTGTGTCTTATCCTCTTGAAGAAGACTTTCTACCTACCAGACTGATGTATTAATAAAAGAGGGGAAAAACATTTGCTTCCACCTGTGGGGCTTTCTCTTCTCTTTGAGGAACACAACACACATTTCAAATCAGTTAATCTAGAGACAGTGAGTCAGTCTTTGTTTTTTGCTTTTGAAGGTCTTTAGCTTCACCCTTGCCTGTTCGCCTCCCTGCCTGTCACGTGATCCCCCAACTCAGCTGCTTGCTTGTGTATATTATGTATATTGGTTTAGATTATGCCACTGTTCATAACCTCATCCCTCTGCACTATGCCAGCCTTTGTATCACTTCAGGAAAGCCTGAAAGTCTCTCTAGTCTGGCTGCTGAAGAACTTGGTGTTTATTTCAACTTCCCCAGTTTGTTTGTTTGTTTGTTCATTTGTTTAATTTTTAGCACTGTGCCTGACCTGTCCCAATGTGACCAGCATCAGCTCTGCTTTCCCTCTTAGTGGAGGGTCTGCCTCCTAGAGCTTAAGGCAGTCGGGAAGCCAGGGTAGAGGTGAGGGGCCTGTTCTAGCAGCCTATGACCAAGCACTGAGCACAGGACTTATCCTGGGAACCAGGCCCCCAACTTGGCATGTCAGCCTCATTTGTAGTAGAAGTCAGCCACAGAGCACACAGCCGGAAAATGGAGTACTCTCCTTCCCAAACTCCGTCTGTTGAAGGAAATCTAGTCTCCATCATTGGTTTGCTTCCACTTGGGTCTCTATGGCTGCAGCTCCCCCTGTCTAACCATTCCAGTTCCTCTGCAGGGATCAAGGATCGACTGACCCTAAGCTCACCCTTCTACACTCTGCAGGACGTCATACCGGTGTAGAGAGTCTGAAGTTCTCTAGCCTGACTATGGTAGGGTCGAGCCTTGTTCTCAGTCTTCCCACGGAAATGAGCCAGGTCTCTAATTAGGATGAGTAACTTCCTGGGCTGCCTGCCTGCACCTGCCAAATCAGGGGGAGGGGGAATGGAAAGTGCTCTTTCCGGCCCCAGGCACGGAGCTTAACATGGGAGCTCCAGAAGGGGCAAATCTGTATGAATTAATCTTTCCCGAACCCCACAGACTATCATATGGATGTCACTGTGATCCCACAGAGTGACCAGGACAGATGAGGGGAGTCGTTCACACCATTAAGAAAATAAATAGTAATTTTAAAAATACAAATAATTAACTATTCAAACATCTCTGCAATCAATGAATTTATAAAATAATGTAGAACTGAAAGTCGTGCCTGTAGTTCAGATACTTGGAGGCCAGCCTAGGCAAACAATCTCTCTCTCTCTCTCTCTCTCTCTCTCTCTCTCTCTCTCTCTCTCT